ATGGTGCATGAACGTAAGTTAGGTATTAGGTCACGTGTGTCGCCTCCACCACAGAAGTTCGTGCGAACGTCATGCTATCATTACTGATTGTAGCAAATTAAAAAAGTACGACACTGGAATACGTCTCACGGCATAATGTCCAACCAGATTCGTGAAAATTGGACAACCGAAGCAAACACTGACGTGTTTCAGACAGGTATAGAGACACTAATGCGGGGCAAGCCTTCTTGTTGTTACGGATCGGAAGTGCGCTAAGCGAGAATGACATTTAAAGGAAACAAATCATATGAGGAAAAATTAATTATACAAATGGTACTGGATTTGAAAAATCCGAGGAGGAGTACACACAAATTCCGCAGATATTCCTTGCACATTCATGGAGGAGTCGGGGTTCGAGTCCCGGTCGAGAAAAGAATTTTCTCTTCTTTACAGCATCCAGACCTGTTCTGTGGCCCACCCAGCCTCCTATCTACTGTGTGCCGTTTGCTCTTATCCCGAGGGCTAAAGCGACCGAAGCGTGAAGCTGACCGCGCACCTCGAACTAGTTCCAAGGTCAAGGAAACGTAAACCTACACATCCACTCCCCTATAGGCCTTCATGGCGTAGTGATTACTTAGTTAAGCACAGGAAAAAATTTGCCTTACCTCCGCGTGATCGCATTTCCTAAGCTCTAAAATTCGTTGATGACGTTTTGGTTGCTGACTCTAATACGCTTACTACATTTGCACAGTGTCTACAGCGGTCACATATGCGTCCTGAGGTTAGTGTGGCATATTTGCTCAAAGCACAGAATTCTTGAGACAGAGAAACAGGAGTTTCCAGCAAATGGCTCTGAAACAACATTCGTTTCTAGGCAACGGCAGCATAAACAGACAACGGAAGGAATCCCGCTGCTAGGCAGCAGATTCGTAATAAGCAAGAATGGACGACCGATGCTAGGAAACGGTTCGGTAAACACGTTCCCTCGGCAACGGATATGCATATGAGAATGAACGGTGTTGTATGTGAGAGACGTAGCGAGGAGTTATAAGGAAGACAACTGGAGCAACCTACTCTGTTTTGTAAGGGAGTCTGTGAAGAAAAGGGTCAGTTGGAAACGAGAAGCCATTAAGAGAAAATCTGACAGTGAAATTTCAAGAATCTCCACTGTTAGAAGCCGCTACCAGGGAACGGCTCGTAGAGACACAGCAGGTTGCAGAAGACTTAGCGTGTGCTGCGGAGATTTATAAAGTGTTGAGATCAGCGATGGCGCTGTAATTGCTTATAATCCGAGTTGTGGCAATATGTGGTCAGTAAATCCAATCTCCAATCCGAAACCCCGTTGAGAGTCACAATCATTATCATGACTTAATGCACTTCAGAACAGGAGTTGGATTCCCGGACGTGGGTTGGGTGTGCAGTTATTCCTCTTCGACACTGTGCAGACCGTCTTTGAGGGACCACTCAGCCTCCTATAAGAATGGAGCCCTCTCCATGGGGGGGGGGGGGAATTCAGTCAGTATGTGCAGCCAATCACACACCTTCATCCAATATTGGACTGGAGAGGCTGGAGGAATATCTCCGCTACCCAGCACCTCATTACTGGCTTGTCTCTTAAAGAAAAGGCACGGGAGAGAAGTGAGCACAATCTCTTGCTAACGCAGTAAATAGAACCTCCATTTTTCGATCGTCCAGGCTGTAGCTTAGTCGCCTTAGTAACTGGACTGCCCTGGCATCTAGTGAGAATGAAATGTGAATGGAGGCCCATACAGAATATTAAATATGGCTGCCGCGTTCTAGCAACAACCACATCTGCCGTCTCATTTGACGATGCTGCTTGTAAGTGAAGCACTATGAGCTGAATAATTACGTGACACTAAATAAATTATTGGCCGGTAACGGTAGCCGAGCGGTCTAAAGCATATACTGTCTTGGCTCGCTTGGAAACCGGGATCGTGGGTTCGAATCCCACTCAGGGTATGGATGTTTGTGTGCGTTTTTCTGTGTTTGTGTACAGGTAGAGGCCTTGTGACGAGCTGATCACCCGCCCAGGGAGTCCTACCGAATGTGTAAGATCTAGAAAAACCGAAGTAAAGGGAGAAGTTCATGGAGGTAGGCCTAGGCCCACTGCGGCTGTAGTGCCAAGGAAAAAACAAATAAACAATTAGGTTTGCGGGCAGAAGCGGTTGTAGCGTAAGCTGAATTGCTATCCCTCAATATGACTGGAGGTACTGAGTAAAACCATGAAATATCTACGTCAGGGTAGATGGTGTCATGGCCGAGATTCGAATGGGGCAGCCCCTGAATATAAATCAGAGGTGTTACTGTATAAACCAGCTTGCTTGGTTCGCAACCGCCGTACATTCTGGTTGCCTACAGCGACAACGTTGTGTCGCCATGTTTTGTATAGTGACAGCATCTGATGATCCTCTTCGGAATTCAAGTTCCCACTGCGGTAAATTTGAAGAGTACAGTCTTATATATGGGATAGCACGACGTTTCGGACGAAAATATCACCACCATCTTCAAGTCCGAAAAGTAAGCGAAGTAAGAAACCAGGAGAAGCAGCAGGGTCTTAACTTGTGGCCTACTTCAACAGGCTCCTTGCGTCACTTGATCCTCTAACCTGAAAATGGAGGCGAAATATTTCTCAGAAACACTCGGCTGCTTCCGAACTTCACAGCATTATAACCCATAATACCGGGCACTTCGAATATAGCCCCATACAGTTGAATTCAAAATGCAGATCACAATTAATGGTTTCAGTATAAAGGGACGTCATAAGAACGTAATTTGCTGTTTTACACGCCAACTGATATTGCATATTTACAGTAAAAAGATAAACGCTATCCCTGTTACAGGCCGTTGAGGTCGATAGGGTTGTGAGACTTCGAGGCTCCCACATTTTCTAGACAGTCGGCTCACAGATGGAGGTGAGGTTCTCAGCTTTAGACACCGGCCATCCTTTACACCCAGAAAGATACCTGGCACTCATTTCTGTTAGAGGCTGAGTCGACCTCAGGGCCATAGTGCGACTGGAAGAATTAAGTCAATTGAAAATACCCAGTGACTTTATCGGGTATCGAACCCACGGCTTTCCGGCTTGTAGCTCAGCTACATTTACAGTAAATATAAATTTATTGTTGTAAAATTAATCCCACTATACAATGGACCAGAGAGGAAGAAATCACTTTTCGTTGTACTTTCTAAAATACACGCCATGTTCAAAACTGTTGCAGAAGCTGACGATCGTAATAAGTGAAGTAAAGCTGGGGTGTTATGTTACGAGCACCACCTGCCTCGAAACTGAAGGAGGGGCATCTATCCCCCCAAATTCACTCATATTGTATGTACAATATATTTAATCTGTTATAAAAATAAACATAAACTTGATTTTGATAGTATCCTAAGAAAATTACTTCAAGGTAATGCAAAAACTTTTATATACGGGACCTTCTGTGCACGCGAAGCTGCTAGAATTGCCACTTCACAGCCACATCTACACGTGCAGACCTGTTCTGCGACATGTTGTCTTTATGCTTTCGCGCTGTCTTTTATCTTTGATTCTGACAGGGTCAATTTGAGCTGTATTTAAAGCAAGGCGCTGTAACCAGTGCACGCCAAAATTATATTCTCCTGGCAGAATTTAGCGTCCAGTGATTTCAAAGACGAAGCATGCGGACAGACACGGCTCCCCATTGGGCGCTCATTTTGTTCCCTTTTTTTAAAGAACCCAGAGAATTCGCGTCCACTTTTTAAATTACGAACGTGATGTAGGTGTATAACATTTAGTTGCACTATTCACCGAGTACAATTAGAATGATCAAGTCAAGGTGGATGTGATGGGCAGAGCATGTAGCACGAATACGGGGAAGAGAAATGTATATAGGATAATGGTTGGAATGCCAGAAGGAAAGAGGCCATTAGGGAGACCAAGATTTAGTGGGTGGATAAGATTATAATGAATTTTAAAGATGTAGGATGCGGTGGTATGGACTGGATTGATCTGGATAGGTACCAGTGGTGGGCTCTTGTGAACACGGTAATGAACCTTCAGTTTTCATAAAATGCTGGGAATTTCTTGAGTAGCTGCACAACTGGCAGCTTCTTAAGAAGAGAGCTCAGCTTCATGGAGTTGGTCAGGTGTTACTGTAATTGAACTCGTGTGTGAAAGATACCATTAATTCACTTGGTATTTATTTTTCCACTACAATGGACGAGGATGTAAATTTGGTCTGGGTGAGAGATGAAATAGCAAATGCAAATTTACTCAGTGAAAATAAAATCGTAGATTGTACCACGCACCAAATATATTATCATAGTGATTAATCAAAGTGGGTGGAAATGGGCGGAACATGTAGCACGCGTGGAGATGAGAAATGCACACAGAATTGTAGTCAATAAACACAGGTGGAAAGCCCATAAATGAAGCTGTGACCTTACAAGAAAAATGGTTAGACCAAGTTCAAAAATTGACCAAAATGAGAAAAGTTTATTATAGAATACTCATTTTTAAAAGATCAAGTGAAAACAAAATTACGTTGATAAGGAAGAATATTTCAATTTAGTGCCAGAACGAATTAGTGAGATGCGAAATACATTGGATAAACATCTTCAAACTGTCTCTTTTGCTGCTGCAAATCAATGTTTCGTGAACTGACTATCTTTCTAGTCTTGTCTCTTTATCTATCTATGGCTCTACAGCCCTCTGTTAAGACTTTGGCCGCTTTTTCAGTTTATTAATCTATACAGAGTCGGTAGGACTCCTTGAACAAGGGATCAGCCCGTTGCAATGTGGCTCCCTACACACAGGACAACACAAACACAGAATACACTCACACAGACATCCATCCATTGAGTGGGATTCGAAACCAGGATCCCAGCGTTCGAGCGAGCGAAGACACTTCATGCCTTAGACCGTGCGGCCACAGTGATCGGCCCATGTCTCTAGTAACACTATAGAAATATTATTAAAATTAATTTAAATGTGTGTAAGGAAAAGAGTTAAACTGACCACTCACCTCCATCTATTGATGACACCAAAGTCTCACGGAAATTTACCTCCACTCCCCCGCACTTCTCCATTTCATGAACACCATTTTACTTGTATAAAAGTTTATATCAACAAACCCTGCCTACAAACATACTGTGTTAACTTCAGAGCAATAGAATACAATTTCTTAAGGCTTCTGGACGCACTGGTTCATCTTTACCACAGTAACTGACACCGATCAATATGCCACAGAAACACAGGCGGGTCTGGTTCGAATTCTTGCGCTGAGCAGATACGAGATCCGCAACTCACTGCCAAGCAAGTGGAAACCCGCTTGGCAAGTCTCCCTCGCCACGGCTGGCTGAATCAACCTGATCAAACAACATCGTGCTTGCCTTTCAGGTTCCATTCTTTTCTTTTTTTAATAGTACGTCCAGTTTAACCATTAAAAACTAATGAGAAGTTTGGAATCATGCTGTTTCCAATAGCAGCAATTCGTTTCAACAGAGACCTACTGGCAGAGACGCAAAGCGAATTTAGTGATGAACCGAAATGCATAAAAGCAGTGGGAAGTGTATATGTATATATGGGTTATGCCTGCACCGGGACTTGGGCTCTGTCTGGCAGACGTGTAACATTTCACTGGATTTGGAGAGAAATGAAACTAAACAGTAAGCAACACTATTCGGCTGCCATGACCAACTAGAAAATGTTATTTGCTGAACTAACTAACTAACTTCATGGAACTGAGCCCTACTCCAGAAACTGCCAGTTATGCAGCTACTCAAGAATTTCCCAACAATTTATTTAACCTGAAGTTTCATTATCGTGTTAACACAGCCCTCCACTGGTCCCTACCCGGGGAGTCAGACCAATTCAGTCCATACCACCCCAAACTATTTCTCTTATATTCACTTTAATATTATCCACCTACCTACGTCTTGGTCTTCCTAGTGGCTTTTCTCTTTCCAGATTTCCCACCAATATCCTATATGCTTCCCTCTCCTCACCATTCGTGCTACATGTCCTGCCACCTCATCCTCCTTGACTTGACCGTTCTAATTATACATGGCGAAGAGTACAAGTTATGAAGTTCCTCATTATGCAATTTTCTCCACTCTCCTGTTACTTCATCTCTCATCGGTCCAAATAATCTTCTCAGCACCCTGTTCTTAAACACCCTCGGCGTATGTTCCTCCCTTAATGTCACAGACCAAGTTTCACACCCATACAGAACCACGGGCAAAATTCTAGTTTCATTAATGGAAAATCCCACATATTGGCCAACTGATAGAAGGAAGAAACCGGATATAATAGATTTTTGTATTACTAAAGGGCTAGACAAAAGGAAATTCCTCGTAGAATCAAGTCTAGACCTTACATCTGACCATACCCCAATCATAGTTACTCTATATGCTCAAATACAAAAAAACGGAAAGAACCCACTCTACATAGCAAATATACAGACTGGGACTTGTTTCGCGAAATATTGGATTCACTAGTTGTACTAGAAACTCCTCTAAAAACAGAAACCGACATCGATTCTGAAGTTGAGAGACTAACCAAAACCATACAAACGGCAGCATGGCAAGCCACCCCAGACCGAAATGAAAACTGCCTCAAAGAGACATGTCCAATTATCGTTAAACAACAGATTGCGGAAAAAAGAAAAGCCCGCAAAAGATGGCAACACACCAGATCCGACTCTGACCGAAAAATATTCAACAAAAAAGCTAAAGACCTAAAAAATCTACTTCATCACCTCAAAAACGAACATATCCAGGCGCACCTCAAAGGATTAACCGCAACCGACACCACCAACTACTCACTCTTTAAAGCAACACGGAAACTGAACAGACCTCAGGAATTAGTACCACCACTGCAAACTGCCGACGGAAACTGGGCACGAAATAACCAAGAGAAGGCCACAACATTCGCCACACATCTCTCCAAAGTGTTCCAACCATATGGCCCTAAACTTACACCAGTTGAAGAAAATGAAATCCATAATTACCTTGACGCTCCCTATCAGATGCATCAACCTATGCGCAATTTCAAATACAAAGAGGTCGAGTCAATCATCAAAAAGGATCTGAATCCAAAGAAAGCTCCTGGATTTGATTTAATCACAGGGAAAGTCTTAAAAGAAATTTCGAAAACATGCATCCAAAAAATAACGCATATATTCAATGCTGTGTTAAGACTAGAATACTATCCATCACTATGGAAAGTATCACAAATCATTATGATCCCAAAACCTGGAAAAAACAAAACAGAAGTCACATCCTACAGACCAATAAGCTTGATCCCAGTCCTCTCTAAAGTACTGGAAAAATTACTCCTGAAACGACTTAATCCGGTATTGGAAGCCCAAAGCTTAATCCCTAAACATCAATTTGGATTCAGAAACAGACACGCCACCACAGAACAAGTCCATAGGGTGGTCAACACAATCAACAAAGCTCTCGAAGCAAAACGCTACTGCTCAACAGTGTTCCTTGACATCAGTCAAGCTTTTGACAAGGTATGGCATGTGGGATTATGCTACAAATTAAAACAAGCACTACCACATCAAATGTATGCCACACTGCGATCCTATCTCACACAAAGGTACTACCTCATAAAACAGCAGGAAGTATACACAGACCTGTATCCAATATTATCTGGTGTACCCCAAGGCAGCGTGTTGGGGCCTGTCTTATACTTGCTCTATACATCTGATCTCCCTACAACTCAACAAACAACCACAGCCACGTTTGCTGACGACACAGTTATCCTGGCGTCACACAGCAACCCCCTCATCGCTTCCTTGCACCTACAAAATCACCTTAATCACATCCAACATTGGCTCAACAAATGGCGCATGAAGGCCAACGAAGATAAGTCTACTCATGTAACATTTACCATGAAACATGACAACTGCCCTTCAGTACAACTCAATAATTCTCAAATTCCACAAGCAGACGACGCCAAATATCTTGGCATGCACCTGGACAAAAGACTCACATGGCAAAAACATATCAAGACCAAACGCACACAGCTCAGAACTAAATTCCACAAGATGTATTGGATGCTGGGACGCCATTCGGAGCTCTCAACAGAGAACAAGATCCTATTATATAAAACTATACTAAAACCGATATGGACCTATGGCATACCCTTATGGGGTACCGCTAGCAACTCCAACATCGAAATTCTTCAACGATTCCAAAATATGGTACTGCGTGTACTAGTTAACGCACCATGGTACGTACCAAACTTCGTCCTACACAAGGACCTGGGAATTCCAACAGTACGCGAGGAAATCACGCTCTCCAGTAAAAAATATCAGGCACGCCTCCGGAAGCACCCAAACTCCTTAGCGACGCACCTCTACGATGAAGAAGAAGTCAGGAGGCTTCACAGATTTAAACAGTCAGAACTGTTAACCAGATTTGCTATCTAATTTTGTAAAACAATTAACTAGTTGACTATAATTAGTTAAATTACATATAGAACGAGTTCATTAGAACACGTTCTTCATGTTAAATTACTTTTATACTCATCATAACTAGTACTTATTATCCAAAATAGCTGGATAGATTCTATAATAAATTGGAGAAATAAAAAAAAATTAATGGAAAATGGTACATAATAAGAAACTGTAGGCTCCGTTTTCGTAAACAGGAACGGAGTTTCACCACGAAATCTTCAGTTTAAACATCGCTAAGTCTGAATAACTTTAAAAGTGTAAACGATTCGGAAGTGTTGCAGACTGCCTCAGAACACTCAAACAAGTACCGCCTCTACAGATGTCGTCTCTCAGCGAAAATATTTGTCCCAATATAACCGTAAATTAACTCAAATCTCTCTGATCCTGCGGACAGTAGCTTCATAAACGGATAATCTCTTTGTGTTAAACACATTTCCCGCCTTTGAGGAGACGCCAAGATTCACTGTATTATTCACAAAAGTCAGCCATTGCACCTTATCCTAAGCCAGTTGAATCCAACTTACATCATTCCGCAGTCCTAGCTTAAAAAGATTGTGTTATTTTAGGAGCTGGGCTAGCTCAGTCGTTAGACAAGCTAAGGATTGGAGGGCCGAAGTTCGTTTCCTGAGAAGGAAAAGAGACTTCTCTCTACTCCATGGCTTCCAGACCGGTTCTGCCCCCCCCCCCAGCCTCCTATCCAATTGGTACTTGGAGCTGTTTCTCCATGAGTAAAGCGGCCAGTGCCGAAGTAACAAATGGTACAACTAAGCTTCATCTCCCGTTTACGGTGTACATAATTATTTAAGGACAGGGATACTTTTAACGTTACGTAAGCTGCTTTGAATATAAGTTTTTATTGGATAAAAAAGACAAAGATCCTAAGCTGAATTGTAGCATGCAATAACTTTGTGAATGTAATTCTGAACAATTTTATTTCCTCAAAGTTTGAACTGTTCCATGTTTAAGAACGACTTAATAATAGTTCCCACATGATACGGTCCTAAATCCTCTAAGTCAACTTAAGTCTTCTCTGAGCTGAACTTGCATCAGACACAGGCAATATTCACTTCAATCCCTTCTCTCCACATCAGATTACACGTTCCCTGCTAGTATCATGTTTAGACGGTACAACTAAACACATAACAAACGGTGTGGAAACGTTAGCATTCTGAACTTCTGCTATACGAGTACAGTCTGCATTCGGGTGGTTTCTGCTTCCGAGAGTGGCCTGCGTCGAACGTTTTTGGTTCTCCAACGTTTCGACAAGCCCTTCACTTCCCATCCTCATAGTTATGACTTTTGGAGAGGTTTTCACAACTCTCGCATTAGGAAGAGTGTTGGAGTTAAAGGTGTGAGTGGATGAAGGTGGAAGCTGAATGATAACCAATAGAGAAGACGATGTGGTTAGCGAAAATAAATGAAGATGTTGTGGCTGAAATAATTTTCATGACCTCTTTTCAACAATCACACGGACACTTCCTATCAGTTAGCAACCTATTGCTCTGTGCATTATCATAGTTCCATTTCCTAATGCGACAGTTGCGTAAGAGATGAGAAAACCCCTCCCAAAGTAATTAAACCTGAAGATGGCAACTAAAATATTCGCCGAAACGTTGGAAACCGTCCACATTCGATGCGGCGTAGTCCCATAAGCCGATGCACAGTTTTTCAGTAAAGAGGCGGTGAGGTGAAGCAGCTTCAAGCGGAATGTCTGACTAGCTGATGAGTCTCGAAATGCATTGTACTTGAAGTTTATGCAGGGCCTACACATTAAGTCTAGTTGGACAAAACTAATCTTGTGGTCTGAAACTTTACTCCACA